TCCCTCTGCTTCATGCTCTAGTGAGGAGTAGAATTCCTCTTGCTCACTAATGCTCTTCTACCAACAGGGGAATCGTGTCAAACTCAGATCTGACACAAGCTTAAGACTTGATTTTTAAGGGACATTCTCCATAGGATGTCTCTCCACTGTGAAATAGACCATAACAAAAAGATGTATTTATAACAATAATTATCTTTTCAACATGATTATTGCACTTTACTTCTTCAACATCATGTGGGAATGGTTGTCTGTCATAACATATTATAAATATTATTATTGTTGATTATAATGCAAACATACAAAGTCACATATTTATAGGGGAAGATGATATATTCAAAAAATTGTGTTTGGACATTTGCCTATCTATTTGAGGGAAAAAAGTTACATCCATCCTTACACAGATCTGAGTATAAAATACAAAGCCATGAAAATTTAGAAAAAAAATATCGAATATATTCATAGTTTCCAATGGAAAATTTTAGAAGATATACCATAAATTTAATTTTTCCATATAATAAAAAATGTTTAGAAAAGATAAACTTGGAAAAACTCTTTATTGTGCTCTAACTGATTTAGTTGAAATGAGCAAGACAGATTTTTTCTTCAAGCACCTTCACCTCAACAGCCCAGGCCCTTTTCAGAAAAGAAAGAGCTGATGGTCACTAGATTTGAGGAAGTTATGGGCAATATCAAAATTTCCTTGTATTCCAGTATAAGAGTAGGAGAGATAATTGGATGACCACAATAAAGGAGAAAAGAGTGGGGACCTCTGAGATAGGAGTGCCCCATCTCTTCCTCTCTATAGTCTGGATTGAGAAAGGATAAAAACTGACTCACCAGTGCAGTTGGTTGAATACTGGCCCCTTTGAAGGGGATCCATATTCTAATACTTGGAACTTATCCCTGTTAATCCTCTTTGGGAATAAATATTTTTGCAGATGTGATTAAGTTAAAAGTCTTGAGATGGACTAATCTTCCAGGATTGTCTGGGTGGGACCTAAATGCTATCTCAAGTGTCCTTATAGGATAGAAGCACAGAGAGATGACACACACGGAGAAGGCAGTGCGATCACACAGGGAGACCCTGGAGCGTTGGGGACAGAAGCAAAGGAGAGCCAGCAGCCAGCAGAAGCTGGAAGACGCTACGATGGATCCACCCCCAGACCCTCCAGAGGGCGTGAGACTATGTAGGCACCTTGATTTTGGTTCAGAACAACTGATACCATATTTCTGGCCTCCAGAATTCTAAGGAAATAAATTTGTGTTGTGTTAAAACATCAGGTGTGTGGCAACTTCTTACAGTAACCACAGGAAGCTAATAGAGTCAGGTAGGTTTAAGGAGAAAAAGATCCAAGTGCAAGGGAAACTCATTCTCCTTCCTTGGGCAGAACTCGCAGGGCAGAAATGGCTACATAGGCTTTCTGAGCATGTAGCTAGAGACAGTCTCACAGAGCATCTCACTGCTCTGCATGGACAAGACAGTGAAAATTCCTGAGCCCCTGAGGGTGCCATGGAGTCATGACAGGTCCTAGAAACCCCACCAAATGTTCGGCTGCCTGTGATGCCACAACTATGGCTGAATTCTTCTGAGAAAGGCACTGGATTTTGCTGATGAAAGTAAGAATTAAAGGAGCCTTACTGTCACATATGAGGGATGACTGCTCTGTGACAGAACAGGACCAAAGTCCAGAGACCAGGCAGGACATCTTATTGGACATCAGTGTATGTAGATGGCCTCCCAGATCAGATCTCTAATCCACAGAGTCACTGTTGATGGGTGACTGACTCAGAAAGGAAAGTAGAGAGGAAGTTTCTTTCACCTGGAGGTTAGGGAGCTTGGCTCAGAAATGAGGTAAATTTGTAATTGTAGAGCATAGAGAACACAAAATCTGAGGCTAAATTGCTCGCATACAATCCCCAGTTCACCACTTATTGGACGTTAACCCCGGGTAAGTGAATAGCTTGCAGTGATTCTGTAAAATAGTCATGCTGATGTCATGGATTTTTCTTGCATGTGACAATTTCATTAAATTTATTTAAGTTTAATACATATAAAGCACTTAGATATAGCAACTGTTCAAAAGCTGTTTGCTACTGTTATAATGATAGGTGCCTTAACAATAATGAAACAGATTTTGCACACCTGAATCTGTGCCCTGTGATTCACAGAAGATACTTGTGGGTTTCCAGAATTTCGATAATGTTTTAGGAAGCATTTCTGTAAAACATATGAGTTATGATCCAAATTCTAAGAAAATTCATACAAAGATGTTAGGTAGGTGCTCTGCAGTTAGAGTAGGTAGAGAAATACCTGGTGACTATGATGAGACAGAGTTTAAAAGCGAACTTCAGAATGTTTACAATTTCCTGGATGGACACAGGGTAATTAGCAGAGGCTAAGAAGAGACGAAGGATGGAAGAAGGGAAAGAAAACTAGAGAGAAAATGACAGACTACTCTGATGTAGCTCAAATCTCTTAGTCTTAGTTGAGGACATTAAAAAGGTAGGGCCTTGAGACACAGATCTAAGACCCCCAATTAATCTCTTAATTTCAATAAAAATGGCACCTTTTCTTGGAGATAGAGGAGAGACTGATGAGAGTACATTGATGTGAAATCTGAAAAAGCCAAAGCAGCACGCCACTCACTGTGGCATGGATGGTCTGGAACACGTGTAAGAGATCATCAGATTCATAGTCTGGAGGAGGCGATTGTTAAGCACATTATTCAGAGTTTAGGGTTGTGTGTACATCTGTTTTTCCATTAGGAGATAAATGACCATTTCATCCTAGAAGACATCTCCAGACACAACCCTAATCGATTCATGTGGAAATGAGGCAGACTATGTAGTTACTCTGGAATGAGATGCAACCCTGGGAGAAGAGCATGGGAAACCCAAATTGACTGAACTGAAGTTTATCGCATCCCATGATATGCGGGTTTATAAGAAAGTTAAAGATAAGTTACAGAAAAATCCAGAAAACTGTCTTCTGTGGTAGTTAAGATCTTTACCTGCTGATAAGTATGTTTTCTCTACCTCCATGCACTAGTCCCATAGTATAAAATCTAAAGTGATTGTTGGGGTGTACAAAGCTGTGCATAATATCTGAATCGTTACCTGTTCTTTTCATGAATACATTCCATCCATCCTTCTACACCTGGCCCCCACTTTATACCTTCAGTGAATTTTATTTATTCACCCAATTCTAGTAGTTTTTGATGACATTTTTCACTTTACCCTTTTTACAATTTTGACTTGGAGCACAGTGAACTGTTATTGCTATATGTCTGTCTCTCATATCAACATGGATACCCCATTAAGTGCAGGAGATATTTCTTGCTTATTTTTGTATCTTCAAGAGTCTGATACAAATAGATGCTTAATAAACAAACAAATAATACATTCATGAATGATTGGACTGCACGTGAATTTATGGGTATGGTGGGAGGACTTAACACTCCCTGAATCTTCTGATTACTGAAGCATCTTTGCCTTGTCACTCAAAAAGAATGCTCTCAAATGTCACTATGGAGTGTATTGTATGTGATAGACTTTTCAGTAGAGACCTTTCTACCTACAAAGACTTCTTGTATTTTTATTTTGTGAAGAAATTTGTTAAATGTTTATTTATTTTTGAGAGAGAGAAGCACAAATAGGGAAGGGGCAGAGAGAGAGAGGGAGACACAGAATCTGAAGTAAACTCCAGGCTCTGTGCTAGCCATCAGCACAGAGCCCAACGCAGGGCTCGAACCCATGAACCATGTGATCATGACCTGAGCTGAAGTTGGACCCATGAACCATGAGGCCATGAGCTGATCCAAAGTTGGATGCTTAACCAACTGAGCCACCTTGGCTCCCTGCTAAGAATTTTCTTAGTAATGATGAAGTGTTGAATTTTATATAATTTGCTTCATCCCTCAGATATGTTAAAATGGTTAATTGCATCATTTTACTTTCTTTGTTTAAATTTTTTTAATGTTTATTTATTTTTGACAGAAGAGAGAGAGAGCGAGCGAGCAGGGAAGGGCCAGAAAGAGAGGGAGACACAGAATCCGAAGCAGGCTCCAGGTTCTGAGCTGTCAGCACAGAGCCTGACGTGAGGCTCAAACCCATGAACTGTGAAATTATGACCTGTGCTGAAGTTGGCCGCTTAGCCGACTGAGCCACCGAGGCACCCCACATCATTTTACTTTCTAATGTTAAGGCCAAATCCCTTTCTTTGCATCGACTCCAATCATGATGCATTATCATTTTATATATTTAGATTTGGTTTGTTAAGCTTCTGTTCGGGATTTTTGTATTTATGTAAGTGAGGTGTCCTTTTGTTTGTTTTTCACATAGTCTCTGTTGGGTTTTCCTACAGAGGCTATTATATGTCAAAATATGAATTTTAAGCGGAGAATATAAATATAAGTTTCTGCTTTCTGTTCACACCTTGCACTACAGGGACTCCACTTGATTTGGGATGATTTGAGATATGGGATTTGGCTGTGCTTCCTGGGATTTATTTTGTCATTAATGTCACAGACAGTTTTGTGGGGCGTGGTGGTAAAAGGTAACTAATAAAAAACAAGTCACACAATTATCACTAACTGGCAAAAAGGAATATCCCCTACATCAAGAGCAGGTAATGTCAGAATTTTGATAAGTTGATGGACAAAAAAATCTGTGGCAAAAACCAAATTTGTGACAGTCTTACTTGAAGTAAAATCTTATTGGACTTAGAAAAATTGGTTCGATTACATGCTAAACAGTAAAATTTTAAATGATAATAATAGCTAAAATTTATTGAGCATTTAAACTGAATATCATTATTTTCTATGTTATGGGCTTAAAATAAAATGGGTATATGACAGGGCCCAATGATCGTATCTGATAACTACAACAGGGGTATCAGTTAAAAAGATCTTTTCTCTGCCCTAGGAAATAGGAACCTGCTTTATGTTGTGTGACTGGCCAAGGGCAGAACTTCACGTTTACAAGCTCTTGGCGGCAGCACCATGAGCACCAGCTTGTCCCCCACTGCATCCGAGCAGCTCTGCTACCAGAACGTGACCGGGTCCTGCGTGAAAGTTTCCTATTCGCCCGGACCCAGGCTCATTCTCTACATGGTGTTTGGCTCTGGGGCTCTGCTGGCTGTTTTTGGAAACCTCCTGGTGGTGATTTCAATCCTGCATTTCAAGCAGCTGCACTCTCCAACCAATTTCCTCATCGCCTCTCTGGCCTGTGCTGACTTTCTGGTGGGGGTGACCGTCATGCCCTTCAGCATGGTCAGGTCTGTGGAGAGCTGCTGGTACTTTGGAGCCAGATTTTGTAGCCTGCACAGTTGCTTTGATGTGGCGTTTTGTTACTCGTCTCTCATCCATCTGTGCTTCATCTCCATCGACAGGTACATCGCTGTGACTGAGCCTCTGGTCTATCCTACCAAGGTCACGGTGTCTGCGTCAGGGATATGCATCGGCATCTCCTGGATCCTGCCCCTTGTATACAGTGGTGCCGTGTTCTTCACAGGTGCCCATGATGATGGGCTGGAGGAGTTAGTAAGTGCCCTCAGCTGCGTAGGTGGTTGTCATCCACTAATAAATCAATTTTGGATTTTGATAGATTTGCTATTATTTTTCATACCTACTTTTGTAATGATGATTCTGTACAGAAATATTTTTCTTGTGGCTAGAAAACAGGCTATCAAGATTGAAAACATTAGTACCAAAGCAGAAGCATCAGGGCCATACAAAACCAGGGTGAGTAAGAGAGAGAGAAAAGCCGCTAAAACTCTCGGCATCACTGTGGTAGCATTTTTAATCTCATGGTTACCATACATGATTGATTCACTCATTGATGTGTTTTGGGGGTTTATAACACCTTCATATATTTACGAGATACTTTGCTGGTTCGCTTACTATAACTCTGCTGTGAATCCTTTGATCTACGCTTTATTTTACCCTTGGTTTAGGAGAGCAATAAAACTCATTATAAGCGGCCAAGTATTAAAAGACAGCTCATCAACCATAAGTCTGTTTTCTTAATGAACCTAATCCCATATTGAGGAATTTGTTGCTATATTGAGAATGTCCCCAGGCCTGTGGCATGAATCACACAGCATGAAGATGACCCATCCAATCACAAAGGAGAAATAATACCTCCATTTCAGTAGCATAACTTTTATGCCTTTACCTGCTCCGTGAGGTGAACACTTTTACGCACTTGAAAGAAATATGTTTACTAAGAAACGGCTGACATACGTTCATACTTTCTATTTCTTCAAATATGTGCACTTCCCTGCTTTGTCTATTGTTAATTAATTTCCTTTTCAAGGCCTGTTGTCAGGCGTACCTTGGTGTCACCTCAAAGTTCGCCTGGTTCCGTGTTTCCTATGAAAGTCTCGCCGTCCCTGTCATCTCTGGACTCTGCGCACCCGGCTTCCATTTTAAGCAGTTTGTTTCTTGGGTCTGGGTCTTCTGTAGCTCCTAAGGTTCTGTGAGGCTTATTTCAAGCTCAGTACTGGACTCATATTTTATATTTGGGGGGATATTTTGTGGAATAATTCTGAGCAGATGATGCAATTTCCACACCGGTGATTGTCCTTTTATGGGACTGTTTTCTTAACCTGAGGTGAGCTATTTTACCTTTCTGCTATTGTGAACAGCATTGTTCTGTCTTTTTTTTTTTCCCCTATAAATAATATCCAAGGTAGTACCTTGTTCATGACAAAAAGAACAATGCATTGTAAGTTATGGAGTAAGAATGGACTATTTAAGGAGCGATGGTGTGGCATACCGCTTTTTGGAAAAGAATGGTAAGCATCTTGCCTCATATCATTAACAAAATCAAAACTGATATTTCCAGAAATAGAATACTAGTGTTTTTAGATTTTTTATTGTAGGAATCAAGGCTGAACACCTGTATAGATTCAACCACTCAATTTAATACTTTTAACTCAAAGGAAACATAGCCTAGTTAAGGAAAAATTAAAAAGTTAAACTTGGAAAAGTCTTGGCAGCACACAGAGTGAAGGTTAATAGATTTAAACATGTAAAGGCTTTAACCAAACACTAAGACAAGGTTAACACCCGACTGGGCATATGAATAGGTAAATACACAAAGAAAACTATACAGATGTTTAATAAATGCATTATAATGCAAATTCAAAACTGATTTCAAATGCTAATGATTATGTGATAAGGTATCATATATCAAATTGGCAAATATTTGACATTTCAATAATACCCAATATTAGAGTATGGGAAATTGGATACTGTCGTGCAAGTAGAGCATGTTCCCATGCATCTTGGGAGAATATAACTTAGTCTCTCCTTTCTGAAGGAATTAAAATTTTAAGGGGTTCCTGCGTGGCTCAGTTGGTTGAGCATCGGACTTCAGCTCAGGTCATAATCTCATGGCTCGCGAGTTTGAGCCCCATGGTCAGGCTTTGTGCTGACAGCTCAGAGCCTGGAACCTGCTTCAGATTCTGTGTCTCCCTCTTTCTCCATCCCTTCCCAGCTCACACTCTGTCTCTCTCTTTCTGTCTCAAAATAAACATTAAAATTTTTTTTAAAAATTAAAACATAGATGTCACTTGACTCTGTAGCTCCATTTCTAGAAAGTAATGCTAAGAAAAGAGCCATCCAAGAAAGCAAACATGACAATCGCATTCATTGTTTAACTTTTAATTATCAACTGGGAAAAGCCTAAGTCAATATGGGATATATTAAATGAATGATGTTACACCTATATAATAGAACATTATGAAACTGTCAAAAAGTGCTAATGAGTTCTATATAAATTGACATGGAAAAACCCCACAATATATTTTTTGACTAAAATAAAAACGAAACAGAACCAAAAACCTAGATTATAAAACAGTGTATGTAAGATGGCCCCCATATATGTATATTTCCATATGCTTTTTAAAAGTCTACCTTTATGTATAAGGGACAGTGTATGTGTATATGGGGGGAGGGGAGTTACTGTGTCATTTGTCTTTGTCACTGTGGTATTGGTGATGAAATTAAAGTATCAAAATTGACATTACGATTTCACAATCTCTTTTCCTTGAATACTGCAGGTTTGTCGGTTTGCTAGTTTTGATCAAATGAGGATATTCTTTGAGTGCATATCCATAGTATATTTTTTCTTACATAAGGGAACTAAATTGTAGCAGCCTTGGTATATTTTAGGAAGTACCTCTTAAAAGTGGTCAAAGTATCTTCTTAAGAATACATTTTAATGTTATCAAAATGTTTTTAATATTGTTTTGAGGTGCACATTTTCATGGGTCACACTCTGTACCTCTCTTTTTGTGGCTGCTGGATTTGAGTGTAATGACAGGTCTGGAGGCCAGAAAAGGTGTTAGGGGAGGTCCTGAGGAGGGTCTGAACATTACCCCCAGGGAAGACCATTATTGCTTCTGGAAAAAAGGGAGACGGACCTCCTCAGGCAGGAGTGGACCCGCTGCCTCTTCCAGCAGAAAAAGGCTTGTGAGAATTAGAGGGTGGGTGTGATCAGTTGCATCAGGACCTGCCATGTGTCAACATTCTAATCTTTAGAATCTTTATTTCCTAACTGCTGGGAGCCTCACTGGCCTTGCTGGATGACAGTCACAGCGAGGCAGCGTTTGCACAGCTCCTGCCATGGGAAACCAAAACTGGTATCTCCTTCTGCTACTACTGGCTCCTGTTGGAAATGAGGCTGCTGGTATTGATCAGGCCTCACAATATTCCAGATCAGACCGATATTCCCCACACAGGTTCCTCATAAGGAAAAGCATATTCCTGCCTTTTCAAAAGAGACTTCAGATGAAAGCATTGTGGATGACTGTCAAAAGGCTCTTCCTATGGACCTTGCAGATCCAAGACTTACATAATAAAGGGGACAAAGACCATAAGACTTACAATTGAGTCTGGCCCTGAGACAAAGAGCCTAATTTAGAGTTAAGGGCAGATTTCCACCCCCACCCAATTGTTTCTGCTTGGAGCGCCTCCCCCCATCCCCAAGGCATTTGTGATCAAATTTGGAATGACTTATTCTGGCCTAAAAAACACTGATTGCGGGGCACCTGGGTGGCTCAGTCGGTTAAGCGTCCGACTTTGGCTCAGGTCATGATCTCGGGGTTCGTGAGTTCGAGCCCCACATCGGGTTCTGTGCTGGCAGCTCAGAGCCTGGAGCCTGTTTCAGATTCTGTGCCTCCCTCTCTCTCTGCCCCTCCCCTGCTCATGCTCTGTCTCTCTGTTTCAAAAATACACTATTAAAAAATTAAAAAAAAAAAAGAAAATGCTGATTCCACCCTGTGAAGGAACCTATTGAGGAACTTTTTCTTTTGTGGTTATGGGAGCAAACACTGTTTCCTGAAAGACCTGTTTTTCTTGATACTTTGCCTTAAACAAACAAGCTATTGACCCCTGCCCACAAAGAAGTAACTTCACCCTTTTTTGGCTAAAAACATTGTCTTGTATGCTAAAGATAAATTCCTTCCCCATAGGATAAGCATCTAAATCCCCTACCCCAATCACTATTGATAAAGGTTATGCAGGAGTCTTCTACAAATCTATGTTCTGGGAAATTCTTACATATCAAAGAAGTTTGTCATAAAAATCATTGTCTAAGGCAAATGCCACTTCTGTGCCATCCCTCACACACTTAATTATAAAATGAAGTTGAGCCCCAGTCAGAGCAAAGATGGCTGCCTGGTGATCAGAAAGAATCTCGGGCCTTTCTCATCCCTCCCTCGCTGACCCTGTCCATCCATCAGGGACCCCTGGACCCGGCCAGAGCCGGCCTCCGACACCTAACCAGTGCCAGAATTTTAGCAAAAGATGCCCTGGGAGTTTGAGAATTCAGTTTGAACAGAATTCACCAGGCTATAGGATAGGGCCCTGTCTTGGTTCTCATAAACTCAGTCCCATAGCAATGGCACATATGGGACTCTTCCGAGGTACTTAGGGAAGCTTTCAATCCTCCGTGTGGGCCTTGAGTAGAGAATCTAAAGACTTTGAAGCTCATCATTTTCTTTCCTCAGGTTCTCCAGAGCAGCTAAAAGAAACTAACCAATTTATTACACTTCTATTTTAACTAAAATGTGATATGACAGCACATTTTTGGTCACCAGAGCCTTGTCTTCTGCAGACATTTGATCACAGGTATCTACAGATAATAATTCGAGTATATGCTTTGCCACCATTGGTTATGGGCTAACAATTCTCTCTCCACCACTGGAAGTGGGGTCATGAATGCATCAAAGATCCAATTCCAGGAAACCCAGAACCTATTCGGAGAACTCATCTTAAGATTCAATTCCTCTAGAACATAGTTCTTTTTCTCTTTTTAATTTTTTTTAACATTTATTCATTTTTTGAGAGACAGAGTATGAATAGGGGAGGACAAAGAGAGAGGGAGACACAGAATCCAAAGCAGGCTCCAGGCTCTGAGCTTTCAGCACAGAGCCTGACGTGGGGCTCGAACTCATGGACCGTGAGATTGTGACCTGAGCCAAAGTCGGGTGCTTAACTGACGGAGCCACCGAGGTGCCCCTGGAACATAGTTCTTTTATCATTGTATGGAATCAGCCTTTCATTCTAAAGGTATGACCTGTCATGACTGTTACATCATCTGATATTTATATAGTCACAGTGCATTCTTATGATCATTATTTTACTAGTACGTATTTTTTTATTCTTTTTTCCTTTAAACAGTGTGTCTCCTCTAGACAGCAATAGTGGAGATTTGCTATTTTTATGCAGCTGGACAATTTTTATCTACTTATTGGAGAGTTTAATCCATTTATATCTGATGTGAATTTTACATATTTAAGTTAATTCTATCATCTGATATTTGTTTCTCATTTGTTGCTTTTGTATTTTGTTTCTCTGTGGCTCCTTTCTTGCCTTATTTTTGCTAAAATAAAGATTTTAGTTACTATTATTTTCTTCTTTGGGCTTCCTATACATAGAGAGATATAATGTGTAGGTTTAGTAGATTCAATATTTCTAGGATGTCCAATCCTTAAATGTTACTAGGAAAATATAGTGAT